TTCAGTCAGTAGAGCAGGAGAGCCATCCTCAGGTCTCTATGAGTGCACCGCCCACAGGAAGAGGGTGGCATTGAGTCCCAGCACCCTGACAGGCCCCATGACACACAACTTCCTCACAGGCTGGCTGCTTCACCCAGCTGGTTGGGCAAGTGCCTGTCAGGCTGGCCTCGCCACCATGAGGAGGTGACCTCATTAGGGGAGTTTCAAAGAGGTGCCCCGTTCCTCCTATGTTTCAAAGAGGTGCCTCGTTCCTGTGTGTCCCAGAGCCTCACACAGCTAGGCTCTAGGGCCAGACAACTCAACAGGACAGCAAGTGTTCAGGCCGGATGTTTGGACACTGGGTGACCCACTGCTGCTGCCTGCCTGGGGGTGTGGACCCTTCAGCCCAGGCTGTGTCAGTCCAGATGCTGCCCCAATAAATATTAGTAAACTTGGCCAGAAGTGATGCTGACTGACGTCACTAATGTAAGAGGCTTAGCCCAACACTATCCCTCCCTCTTGGTCTGAGAAGCAGCCACCAAAGTCTCAGCCCAGCACCCAGTCAAGAGGCCTTTCCTGCCCCCAGGTGCTGGGTGCAGTGGAACTGGGCATCTGGGCGCTGAACCCCATGGGCTGTTTTGTGACGCTAGCTGAGCTGTCTCACCTCTCCGAGTACCCCACGAGGAGCAAGCATGAGGCGGAAGAAGGCACCACAGGCTGAGCGTGGAGCTCACTGGGCATTGGACTCTTCTTCCATGCTGGATGACCTAGAGCTCCAGTGGAACACAGCCCCCCAGGGGCACAGCCCAAGCCCACACCAGGGCCCATCCTCCCAGGAAACTGGGCCTGGTCTCTGCATTCAGATGGCTCTTGGCTATCAGGGATCTGGGTCCCCGGAAAGCTGATGATGTCACTTAGTTGTTAGAGTGCCCGTCTAGCATGCAGGAGGCCCTGGGTTCAATCTCCACTTGAGAGATGGGAGGAGGGCAGAGAGTAAGTTCAAGGTCATCCTCTCCTATATACAGATTTCCAGGCCAGCCTGGGCTACATGAGACCCTGTCTTAGAAAAGGCAGGGGCTGGAGTGTAGCTCAGTTCTTGCATAGCACACACAAGGCCCTGGGTTTGAGACCCAGCACCACTAAATTAATTAATTGATTTAAAAATTTAAATATTTTGAGGCTGGAGAGATGGCTCAGTGGTTAAGAACACTGACTGTTCTCACAGAAGACCCAGGTTCAAATCCCAGCACCCACATGGCAGCTAACAACTGTCTGTAACTCCAGTCCCAGGGGATCCGACAGCCTCTTCTGTCCTCTGTGGGCATTGCACAACACGGGCGCACTTACCTACATGCAGGCAATACACGCATACACAGAAAATAAAAATAATAAATAAAAAATTTTTTAAAATTTAGGTATAAACATAAAAGGGGCCTGGGGGGGGGCTGTGAGTTGTTGGTTCAGCAGGTCAGCAGGTAAAAGCATTTGCTGAGCTGCACAAGCCTAGTGATCTGAGTTCAATCCCCAGAACCCACTGTTCATGGGTTTAATCCCAGCATTCCTGAGACTGGTGGATCTCTGGGCGCGCAAGGCCAGCCTGATCTACAGAGTGAGTTTCAAGCCAGCCAGAACTACACAGTGAGACTGTGTCTCAAGCAAGCAAGCAAACAAACAGACAAAACCATGGTTGAAGGAGAGAACCAATCAACTTCTGACATAACACAGGTACACATATAAATAAAGTTAAAATTAAAAAGAGGGTCCTGGGGATGTCACCCAGTGAGTTGAGTGCTTGCTGAGCATGCCCAAAGCCCTGGGTTAGCGCCTCAGAATGGCATAAAACCAGGCGGTGCGCATTTGTAATCCCAGAGCTCCAGAGGCAGAGGCAGGAGGATCGGAGGTTCAGAATTGTCCTCTGCTTTATAACAAGTTCAAGGCCAGCCTGGGCTGCCTGAGACCTTATTGTAAAAGAAACAACGAAAGGGGCTGGAGAGCTGGCTCAGCAGTTAAGAGCACTGACTGTTCTTGCAGAAGACCCAGGTTCAAATCCCAGTACCCACATGACAGCTAAGAACTGTCTGTAACTCCAGTTCCAGGGGATTTGATGCCCTCTTCTGTTCTCGGAGGGGACTGCACAACATGGGTGCACTTACATACATGCAGGCAATACACGCATACACAGAACATAAAAAAATAATAAATACATTTGGCTTTTGGTCTTTTTGAGACAGGGTCTCCCTGTAGCCCCAGCTGTCCTGGAACTCACTATGTAGACCAGGCTGGCCTTGAACACAGAGCTCTGCCTGCCTCTGCCTCCCAAGTGCCTGGATTAAAGGTGTGCACCACCACGCCCGGCTAAATAAAATATTTTTTAAAAGAAACAATGAAAGCCCTAGGGTCCCAAAGCCCCTCACCTGGGTCAGAACTTCCTTCCTGACGCATCTGCCTGGGAGACAGACACTTCGCCCCCTTTCTCTCGGATAGCCTCTGGGAGGTTGGGCTGGCACAGCACTGCACTTTCTGAGCACCCGAAGTGGGGCAGCTGCCCCTGAAATTCACTAAGGAAGACTGCACCTACTCAGGAGTGGGCAGATTCCAGCCAGGTTCTCAGTGACTTGGTCATGCCAGAGCCCAGGACATCTGATAGCTGTTGGATGGCCTGGACCAGCCAAGGGCTCCCTGTTGACACAGGATCTGCCTAGGCCCAACCTGCCCTACCCCTCTGGCCACCAACCCAGCAGAGGCTGTTCACACCGCACACCCAGCCTTGACCTTATTTAAGGGGCAGCAGAAGAGCCTGGACTGTGTGGGCAGGAAACCCTCTGGAGGATGGCAGATCCTTCTTCCCCTCCCTGCCCGCAGGGCCCTGTCCCCTGGGTCATTCCCAGCCCCCAGAGAGCAGCAGAGAGAAGAGGAGGGTGGCTGGGGAGCAGCCTCCCTCCCTGGTCTGTAAGCTCTCACCGTCCCCCTCTGGCCTTGGGGTCCTCCAGGACCTGCACGTGCTGCTTCTCCAGTGAGACAGGTTAGAACACCTCTCTGGCTCTCTGGGCACCAAAAGACCCTCCATGATCTTCCCAATAAGCCCCAGGCTCCATTCCCACACATACCATGCACCACCTTCTGCGGGGAGTGGGGCTCCTCCTGTCCCCTCTTCCCTGTGGAATCCCAGAACCCAGGTCTTTAAGTACAGCTGCTGGGGCAGTGCCAAGTGTCTGCAACACCTGGGGTTGAGGCTCCACTGACAGGGTCCAGAGGGAGCACAGGGGGCAGGATGGAAGGTGCTGGTGGGGATGGGGTCCCACATCCTCCCTGCAAGTAGTTCAGGAGCCATGCAGGACAGCTTAGGTTGTGATGTGGCTGTGCAGCCTGGGGAAGGGTACTAGAGAGAGTTGGCATTGTCCTGACCTTCTCCCAAGCCTGATGCTGGCCAGTCAGCTGCGTGCCTTCAGCCAGTTCACCACCTATCTTAGTCAAGGGTCCCAGGAGGAATCTCCCACCTGGCCTGCTCTCTCAGAGGTCCCAGGGGAGACAGGGCTGGTGGCCTGCCCAGCATCCTTATATTGCTTTTTGCACAGGCTGTATCCTGGGCCCGCCAGCTTTTCTATACTGGGCCCTTGAGCAGAGGCAGCAAGCCAATTTCTCCTTGGGGCAATGGAGGACAGGGCTCTGGGTGCCCTGGAGAGGAGACAGGCCTGCGCAGCAGGCAGTGGGAGTTGGGTGGCCAGGTGCAGAATTTGACTGTTCATTCCTTTAAAAAATTTTACACTTAGTGTGTGTGTGTGTGTGTGTGTGTGTGTGTGTGTGTGTGCGCACATGCTACAGTTCGCATGGGGAGGGCAGAGAACAGCTTGAAAGAACCAGGCTCTCACCTTCCACCGTGTGGGTTCCAGGGATTCAATTCAGGTCCTTAGGGTTGACAGCAAGAACCTCCAACCCACTGAACCATCTTACCAGCCGCCCCCTCCCAAAACAAAACAAAAACACCTGGGTCTTGCTATGTAGCACTGGCTGGCCTTGAACTTACTATGTAACCCAGACTGACCCAGACCTCAAGATGCTCCTGCCTCAGCCTCCTAGGTGCTCGGATTATAGGTGTCAGGACTACAAGGGCAGCCAAACTTGGTTTGGGGGCAGTCACTGTCTGAATTTTAACTCTTTGCGTGGAGGGATCCTTTGAGCCAGCCTGACAACCATGAAAAGGGTCTGGTTCTCAAACAGCCGGTCGGGGGCGGGGGTCCCCACCCCTCACCCCGGCTTCCGGGGGTCCCTGGGCCGCTCCTCCCCCACCCCTGGGAACCCCGGAGGAGCAGCGTCCGCTTCCTGCTCCTATTAAACCCTTTAAAGGCAGAGGGTAAATAAAACCTGCTGGAAGGCGATGACTCAGCCGCCCCCGCCGCCCCTCGCCCCCAGGCTGGTCCCCATGCAAGCCTTGCTAGGCTCCCTGAGTTAGCCAAGTTATAGGGTCGCGGGTGCAGGGTCTCAACCGGACTTGTCTGTCCCCCCCTAGATTGGGGTTCCAGGAGGGCGCCAGGGAAGGAAGCGGGCCTCGCCTCTCACACTTTTGAGCTTGGCCGGGGTGCTGTTCTCCGTCCCTCACCCCTCCCTCTCTGCCTAAGCTAATAAAGGTCGTTGCCCCCATTTTACAGAAGGGAAAATAGGCTCAAAACATCCTTCGAGGCGCATTTCTGGGGGAGCAAGATGGGAGTTAAAGCCCGTTGGGGTAGGGCCACTTCCAAGGAAAGCCTGTTGGAAGAGCGTCTCATCTTGCCCCGGGGTCCCTGGAGCGGCGGGGCTGGATTTCGGGGGAACTAGCGAATGGGCATCTGGGTGCTTTGGGCCCATGTAGGGCCAGCCCGGGGTCTCGGGGCTTCCCGGGTGAGTCACAGCGGGCAGGGTCGGCTGCTGCACATTCCTGCGTAGGGCCGGCGCCCTGGCGGGGTGGAGACCGCGAGTCACTGCACCGGGCCGGGCAGCTGGGGACGCTGGGGCTGGAGGGGAGGCTCCGGGCGGCCCCCGATTATCTGCCGCCGATAAGGGGCAGCCTGGGGCAAGGGGGTCAGGGCCAGCCCAGGGCAGAGGGTCAGGGGCAGCCCGCGGCGCCGGGTAGAAGGCAGCCCCGGAGGGTGGGCGCGCAGAGCGCGCCGGGACCTAAGCGCGCCCCGAAGGGAGGCGGGCCCGGCGGCGGGGCGGAGCCCTTATAAGGACCTCGCCCCGGGCCGGCAGCGCACAGAGTCGGTACGGCCACAGCCCCGGAGCTCGAGCGCCATGAGGACCCCCGGAGAAGTGCTACGCGAGGGCGAGCTGGAGAAACGCAGCGACAGCCTGTTCCAGCTGTGGAAGAAGAAGCGCGGGGTGCTCACCACCGACCGCCTGCGCCTCTTCCCCGCCGGGCCCGGGGCGCGCGCCAAGGAGCTGCGCTTCCACTCCATCCTCAAAGTGGACTGCGTGGAGCGCACCGGCAAGTACGTGTACTTCACCATCGTCACCACCGACCGCAAGGAGATCGACTTCCGCTGCGCCGGGGAGAGCTGCTGGAACGCGGCCATCACCTTGGCACTCATCGACTTCCAGAACCGTCGGGCCCTGGAAGACTTCCGCAGCCGGCAGGAGCGCCCCGCCACCGACGCGGAGCCGGAGAACCGCGCTGCCCGGGGTCCCTAAGCCTCGGTGAGTGCGCCCTGCGTCCGCGCCGTCGGGGGGTCCCCGGGGCATCCTGGGCGGGACGCGAATCTCGCGCCTCCACCCGGAGAAGCTGCACTTTCACGCGGCGTGGGGGTGGAGTGCGGCTTGGGGAGGGTCCTCTCTCTTTGGAGATGGTCTCCAGCAGGGGCACCGGGCAGAGCAGCCCTCGCCCTCCCTATTCCGGGACTCACGGGGCGCACACCGACTCTTTCTAGTTCAGTGTCTGACGCAGTCCTCTCCCCCCACAGAGCCACACACCAGACCGCTTGGCTGCCGCAGGCAGGAGCCCGTGGGATGCCCAGAACCGCGGGAGCCCAGGTGGGCGCTCACCTGCCGACCCCCCGCGGACCAGGAGGCCGCTGACCATCCCCATCGAAGATCCTACTGTTTGCGGAGCCTCGCCCCGCTGTGCTGGGGCGTTAACTTATTGGACTATCTACATATTTATTTTGACGGTTATTTGTCGTCAAATGGTTCTGTCTTAATATTTTGTTTTTACACCAGTTTCACCATTCCAAATAAATGATATTTTCTTTTCTACCCACGTGTGGCCCGTGAAGTTCCTGCGGGTAGGGTAGTGAAGGGGTTCCCCCAGCCAGTGCCTCTCCCTGGTCCCAGGAGACATTGAAACTGCCTTTGAATGAAGTGTCACCTGCTGGATTGGGTCCACTGTCTCCAGGACAGGAAGTGCTCTGGGTGTGGCCTGGCTACCTTTTGCTCCTGGGTGCGGCACTTGCTCAGAGTTCATTCACTAACTGGCCTACTGGGGCTGGTGCCTCCCGGACACTTGGACAGCTGCTGTGTCCATGGGGGTGGCTGTCCTTGATTGCCCCCACGAGACCCTCACACCACCTGTCCAGCAGCTAGTGGGAAGGCCCTCCGGTCTGCTCCTCCTGACAACCTCTAGCTACTGCTCGTCTAGAGTCCAGCTGCCAGCTCTCCTGGCTGGTGTCTAGCATGGTGGGCACTACTCTGGGGCAAATGAGAGACCAGTCTGGGCTGTCTGCTATAGTGGGGCAGTGAAGTTCAGAGTTGTGACTGGAATGTGAGACCCTCTTCGAGTCACCTGCCGGGTGTCAACTCTGTCGTCTTCTGTAAAGGGCTTGAAGTCTATGTCAGGTGGGCAAGCTGCCCAGGTGGCATGGCCTGGGGAGGAGGTGTATGCCTCCTCCAAGTTCTTACTGATAGACAAGTCCAGGAAGGTAGAATGACAGAACACTGAGTCCCTGACCAAGCAGGTGCCTTCCATCTGGGCCTCTGGCTATGGGAATGCCATGTGAATGGGGGTGTCACAAGCCTCCTAGCTGGATCTTGGAGGCCAGGCTGGGAAGGGGGGCTGTCCTTTTTCCTTTAGAAGTCTTGAGTGTTAAAGAGTGTTGTTTTTCTTTAGAAAGAATTTTCTCTCAAAGCAAATGATGGTGGGCAGGGGGTTCTCTAAAGAACAGAAATGATCAGCAGAGTCCCCTCTGCCCCACTTTCCTGAGCATCCCCCTCCCACACACACAGCCTCACCGGGACAAAAGACCAAGTCAGGTGATGAGGTCCCTGTTCCTTGTGGAGTTTAAGCAGACATTGTGGCCCGAGGTCTTAGGCAGAGAGTGGGACTGGATCTCACGGTTCTAGGACGGAGGAATTCTGAGGTATGGGGATTCTAAGTTTTAAAAGCTTCTTTCAAAGAGGCTGGCAGAAGCTGGATGCTTGGTCTCAGGAGTACCTGTCCCCGTGAGTGCCCCTGGTACAGTTCTGCAGACGGGGGAGTTGAGGTTATGTGTTCAGTGCCCGGCAGCTCCCTCCTGAGCCCTGTTTCCCTATATT